ATGTTCACCCATCGAACATGAACATGTTTGGGTAACATAAACATCCTCTTTGGGGAATCGCCCCTCAGCCGAGACTTGACCTCAGAGCATCGGGAAACCACCCCTCTATTCGGCCGGCCTCAGCTGATTTTCAGCCGCGGCCCGGCCTTGGGTTCGCTCAACCTGCCCTATCTGCGGCTCGCACCTTAGCGGCGGCGGCTCAGGCGCCATTCAAAGTCCCTTGATATGGGCATGTATGAATATATCTTTGCATTTTCTACAATGATAGCTTAGTATGTGAGCTCGTGGCCCATGACACGACCATTTGATAACAGGATTCAGTAAAGCCACAGTTGATACATAGTTATCAGTAGGTACTAACTACACAGGTAATGAGTAGTCCAATAGACGGCACACCCAGTAAAGTATAAGTGAGAGGCTGGAAGGTCCAGACTAGATGTAAATCGTGTGAAGGCCACCTTCGCTGAAGGAGGCGAGGTTGCTACCATCTGAGACCGGATGATGAGCACGAGATACAGCCCGGGGCTTGAGAAATCGCTGGCGACGCAGGCGGTGAAGTCGGCCAAGACGTCCTTGTGAGCTGCCACTTAAGGTGGGAGCACATCTGTGCGTTGCATCCACTTGATCTAGCGGAGGGTGAACATGCCTGGGCGATGATACACCAGGACTTGTTGGAGTAAGTGGCATCGCAAATGATCTTGCTGGCGAGCGTGAATGCGAAATGAAAATGCGGTACCCGGATGAACCCTTGGCGGCGGGGAAGCGCGCCTTGAGGCGCTGTAATAAGAACAGTAACGCATACGTGACACTTTCCGGTAAGCGCGTCCGATGGAGGGCGTAGGCGATGAAGTGGTTCAGGTGCGCGGGTGCTTGCTGTCTGGCAGCTGGCGCTGGCTGGTCGGGGCAGGCGAACAAATGCGAGACGAAGCGGGCGGCCAGACGTGCCATCCGTTCATGGCCGTGGAATGGGTCCTGGCCGGTCTTATAGAGAGCGTGAGCATGATTGAGGATATTCAAAGTTCGGAACTACGTACCGGGTTCGAGCGTGAGGTTGTAGCCTGCTTATTATGCGAGGGCTGCGACGTTCGCCAGGGAACGGGACCGGCGACAGTTGCCATTCGACAGGGATGAAGGTGGTTGGAGAGACAAGGTGGCGGGGAGGAGGATGGACGGGGAGTTGCAAGCACGCGGGCTGGGGGCGGAGTGCGAAGTCGGTATAGAGAACTTAGTAGATGTATTAGTCAAAGGCGGCATTGCGAGGCACTCAATAGGACTTACTCTAGAGGTATCGCGAACGATCACACTGTGGTGCTTAGTTTGTCGTGAGATCATCGGCCCTCTCGCACCAAGGGTCGTTCGTGCAGAAATATTCATTCATATAGTACATTACACAGACTTACAGAGGATACAATGACAGTATACAGCGAGAGAGAGAAAAGGACATCATGAGGAGAACAAGATCAGCAAGCAGAAGAATGATAAGGCGAGCACAACCGCACGGGCACGCAGGCTACGTCTAGTCCGAGAACCCTTCGTTCTCAACCGGCTCGTCGGAGAGGTGGCCGTCATAGGTCTCCCAGAACGGGTCAGGTTCGTATTCGAACCAGGTGCCTATTCCCGTATCCTCCACTGCAAGGTTGAGCTCATTTGGAGTGAGATCCTTCACGCCTGGACTGGAGGGCAAGGACATGACACCCAACGAGACTGATAGCGCCGCAGCCGGGTCTATTTCTTCGCGCCGCACAGGGAGCTTCTCGGGCCGGCACTCCTTGCACTTGTACAGATTGATGTCGTGTTCGGGAAGCTGCACCATTTCGACAGGCCACTGGCGGGCGGCAAAGGAGGTGAGGATGTAGCGGAGGAGAAGTTGCTCTTGGACATTATTGAACTCATCATCGTCCAGGGAGGCAAAAGGTTCGCCGTCCTCGGGGATCAGGTCCTTCAGATCCTGGACGGTATACCAGTCCAAGTCCCGCTCCATGTACTGGTCGACGAAAAGGGCGTGGTCGGCACTAATGAGTACCTTGGTGAGATGCGAGACGTCGTACTGAGCCTCGAATGTCTCCTCAGCCTGCTTGCCTCCTGCCGGCCACCCATCCAACCCAACTACTTGGCGGTGTATAACAGACTGCAAGATGAGCGCAACGAACGGGCGTTGGCGTTCCTCTTCATCTGTGAAGTCGGGCGTGCGGCGCCCACCCCCAGCTAGCCCAAGTATCCCATCTCTGGCGAGAGCCTGCGAGTTCAGATCGCACAACCAGTACAGCTGCTCGAGCTGCTCGAGCCAGATCAAGATATTATGGATGAGGTCGGGGTCCTCGACGAGGCGTTCGCTCGTTGCAGGATGGCCACATGCGAGATACCCTCGAGTAAAGCACGTATTCTCGCCTGCCGCAGTGAGCGACGCGATCTTGTTGTCGGTGAGAGTCTGGCCGAAGTACTTCGCGCTACCGTACTTGTCGAACTCATTGTGATCGTAGCGCTCCATCGGTATCTGGTCTGCCTGCAACTTCTTGCGCGCAGCGGGCGCATTCGCCTCATCCCAGTCCTCCCCTCTCCGTAGCTTCGCCAGTTCATCCTCGATGTACTTCTTCCGGTGATGATCGTGCCACACATTCTTCCAGTGCTTAACTGTGAGAATATCACGCCACTCGGCGGGGCTGAGGGGCTGAACGTCGCTACAACGGCGCGCCACTGTAATACGCTCGAGAGCAGTGGGCAAGAGCGTGACAGCATTACAGACCATTTCAACGGTCTTCTGCCAGGAGTACGGGTTGGTGAAGACAGACAATGGGGGTACCCACGTCCTCAGTTTGAGGTCGCCGTGCTGAGCCTTGACTAACTCGTCCAACCGGTCGCGAGGGATTTTGGGCGCCTCGACGTGGAAATTGGGGTCGCTCGTGCTGATGACGGGGTGCTGGAGCGGGCGCGTAAGCAAATCAATGTGCTTACTGCCCGCGTCTAGCGCGACGAGATAGTTGCGGTCAACGGCTGGCGCGAAAGGTGGACGCGGCTTGAGCTTGTTGGCGAAGTAGCGCTGCGCGGCTGGCGAGCGCGCCGCCATCTGCTGGTAGCGCTCCAGGGACGAGCCAAGGTTGCCGAATACTTTCTTCAGATTTTCCAATTTGCGTTTATTGGCCACCCGAACATCTTCTTCTCCTATGAGGTTTAATTGGGTCAGTACTTATGGATAACCGCATGTGGTAGGTGACGCTCACTTTGTAGAACACGGTCCAGCTTCCTCTTTTTCTTCTGCGCCTCCTGCCCTAGCTCGAAATAATCTTGATCCGGGGGCGGGAGATATCCACGCCCAATAGGCTCGATCAACGCCCAAGGACAATGAGGCGGGGGTGGGTACCAGCGTGAGGGTAGCGATCTCTGCTTGAAATCGTCTGCAACGTATACATCAGGATCACTGCTCCTTTATGGCAAGCAAGAAGTATTGCTTACTGAGAACGTCACACGTCGATACGTCACAGCGCGGGGAGTCTGGAGGGCCCAGCCTCCCTTTCGGGATGGCCAGCGTGTTCATCGCAGCATAAACCCAGACAGGTATTTTGTGAGCCTTGAAGAACCGGATGTACGTCTTGATATCCTCCCCCGCCAATACGACTCCGCGGCGACAATCGCTCTGCGTGAGCTTGGGCAGCTCTGCGAGACCAGGTGCGAGATGAGGCGGGAGGATCGAACAGGCGAAATCAAAGTAGGCGAGCATGATGTTGTGAGCGCGCTGATACGCCGTGAAGCAGACATCAAATTCCGGGAAGGCGGAGATACAGCCGTACCGGAGGCGTTCGCAGGCGTGTATGATGTCGAAATATTCGCGAACAGGTTCGCGCACATTCGCCAGGATCACACGGATGACGCTCTCGGGGTTGAGACCCTGCATGCACTCCTTCGATGCGCGCTTTAGGAGGTCCGTTACGAGTTCGCATTGACCGCGCAGAGCCGTGTGGCGCGATTTAAGCTCGTCGTAGAGCTGGTCCGTGAGCCGGTACATCCCGTTTCGCGTGCCCATGCCGAACTTCTTCTTGCCTCCCAACTTCTTCCTCTGCTCGACGGCTGCGTCTGGACACAGGGCGCAATCATGCCTGGATGCACGACGGTACAAAATCGACTCCGCCTTTTGTTCCAGCGTCGGGAGATGCGCCCAGGCCATGAAGGGGGCAGTGTGGTCGAGAAGCTGGGGCTGCCGCGTATACTCGTGCCAGCGCCAAAGGCCATCTCCGCCAAATCCCGTAGCATGTGAGAGGCACTCCTCCGGTGGTGGAGGGCGGTATGTGGTTCCAACCCCGAGAAGAAGCCTGCCGTCCGGCCACTGGACGGCCACTTCGACATCATCGGGGATGAGACGAATTGACGGTATGGGTTTCGGCTGCCCAGTCTTCTTAAACTTCGGCAGAGGGCGCTTCTGTCCAGCGAACGGCAGCCCATCGGGCGTCCGCGCGGAGGACTTGTGCGCGGGCAGCGAGTCGGGTGGTGGCGGTGACTCCGGAACGAACTGCACATTGGGTCGGGGTCGCGGTGCCATTGCTTTCTGAACTCGAGCTGACAGAGTAACTTCTAGACAAGGGTGTTTAAAGTCACTGATGTCCTTCACCCAGCGAAGGGAGAATGGGGTAGATAAGAAGGTGAAGAGCCGTGATGGTGGTTCGGGAAAGCGACGTTGTGATCGCGTGTTTGCGAACGACCTGTCGATTCCCACGCCTGCAGCCGATGCGGACAATGTGGACTCCAGTTTGAAGAATCGACGGAGCAAGAGAGGTACAAAATGTATTTCAACAATGCGATACATGCAACATAACACGAAGCAGCGGGCTAATGCATCACACAGGGGCTCGACGTGCTGTCAACCCTCTCGTCTGTCGACCATCAGGAAAAAGGCGTGCCTCCGTGGACTCGTTCATCATCGTTTGCGATGATGATGAGACGCATCAGCGCCGGCCCAAAGCGCTCCGTAGGCACGGCCGGACGTCGTAATTAGGGTCAACGCTCCCATGCACAACCTTGCGGCTGCTCTGGTCGCAGACACCCTTCGTACGACGACCTTAGTGCGGCGGAATGACTGGGAGCGGGTGGGACGCGACGTTGCGCCGTCCCTCGAGACGCAGGTGCCGAACGAGCTCGACCATGCCGAATCGACAAGGCGCAGCGGTCATCCGCGTTGCCTTGC